CAGACAGGCAGGCAAATAGACAGGCCACAGCACAGAGAGACACACACACACACACACACACACAGAGACACAGACAGAGAGAGAGAGAGAGAGAGAGAGAGAGAGAGAGAGAGAGAGAGAGAGAGAGAGAGAGAGAGAGAGAGAGGGAGGGAGGGGCGAGGGGGGAATTGGTGGGAACCACAATGTCCAGAGGAACTCTTGAGGGGGTTTTGCATTCTGTCAAAGTTCTGAAAACCCACAGAATGGTTTAAACATACATGAGATTGTTATGAGTAGATACAGATATGCAGACACACAAGCACACAGAGGCAGTTACAGCACATGAGAGAGAAAAATAGGCAGCCACACATACAGCTAGATTGGTCTGTAAGCTGGCTCTTTGCAAATCACAAGAAAAAAGAAGCAGCTCTTAGAGTGACACATGTGAAGGATACATTGGCGTGCGTTGGTGTGAGCATGTGCACACGTGTGTAAGATAGTGAGAGGAGAGGGATAGGACAAACAACAATACACTGCTACAATGCAATAGAAGCTGCCATTATGTGTGTGAAATAGCGAGAGGCTAAGAGGAGGGCAGAAGCCAACGAACAGCTACAACCCAATACAAGTTGCCATTTCGAAATGATAGAGATCCACACCTGAAGGATGTGCTCGGCTGGAGAGCACTGCTGACAGCCGATCAGATGGGAAAGCAGAGGTAACTGCTGAAGCACTAGCCGGCATGTTCTCGCTGGTTGCACTCTTGAGAGCAACAGGGATTGATATACTGGAGGCTGCTGCTGATTGCGAAGAAGAAGCTGCCAGCAAGTCCTGTAAGGTTCCAGAGTACACAGCAGAAGAGGGAGGAGAAGAGAGAGAGGACCAAGATGAGGATGGCGAGGAGTAGGACGAGAGAGGAGAGGAGGAAAGAGGATTGGAAGTTGGAGGAGAAGAAGATGATATTGGGATGTTCGAGGACACAGGAACATCAGAGGCTGGCACAGTTGATATTGAAGCAGATGGTGATGGCAGTGATTCAGACTGGGAATCCATTTCTCTCCAGTCGGCAGCTGAGTCCATAGCTGATGACTCCAATGGTGATGATGACGACTGCACTGGCCATGACGATGCCGGAGCTGAGGATTCCACTGGCCATGATGATGGTGCAGCCGAGGACTCCACCGGCCTCGACGATGGTGGAGCTGAGGACTCCACCGTCGTTGCTGAGGACTCGACCGACGATGACGATGGCGGGGCCAAGGATTCCACTGACCACGATGACGGTGGGCCCGAAGACTCGACAGACCACGACGATGGCGGAGCAGAGGACTCCACAGACCACGACGATGGGGGAGCTGAGGACTCCACCGCTGGCCACGATGACATCAGCATCGAGGACTCCACTGCTGGCCATGATGACATCGGCACCGAGGACTCCACCGCTGGCCATGATGACATCGGCGCCGAGGACTCCACCGCTGCGGACGATGAGGCCAATTCCACACTGCTCATGCTGCTGACCTCGATCACTTCTGAAGGCAGAGGTGTTGAATATGACATAAGCCTGTCTTGAGGAATGACATTGGCCGACGATGCAGAGGCAGATGCTTCACTGCTGTTCTTCAAGGATGAAGATGAAGGTGCCGCTGCTGACGACAATAAGGGGGTTGATTCTGGTGATGATGAGGAGAGTGATGCCGAGGAGGGTGATGCCGAGGAGGGTGATGTCGAGGAGGGTGATGTCGAGGAAGGCAACAAGGTATCTTCTGAAGGCAGAGGTGTTGAAAATGAAAGATTCATAGACCTGTCTTGAATCGTGCCATNATGATAACGAGGAGGGTGATGTCGAGGAAGGCAACAAGGTATCTTCTGAAGGCAGAGGTGTTGAAAATGAAAGATTCATAGACCTGTCTTGAATCATGCCACTCACCAACGATGCAGAAGCAGATGCTTCACTGCTGTTCGAAGACCCTGAAGACGAGGGCGATGCTGCTGATGATAACGAAGGTGTTGATTCCAGTGCCGAGGACGGGGTTGCAGAAGATAACAAGGATGAGGATGGTGCAGTAGAGGAGGAATCTGGTGGAGATGTGGAGGATGCTGGGGAAGATGATGATAATGACTCATTCATCACACCTTTGGAAGAGGAAGATTTTGCAGCACTAGACCGCATTGCCTGGTCGCTTTCACGGGCAGACGAGGACTCTGAGGATGGGGAGGAAGGAGGAAGAGAGGGAGTGGGTTCGCTGCTCTCAGAAGCGGATTTCATTTGAGCTGTTGAAGCATTGGGAGCCCTTGCGCTCCCAGAAGCTACTTCACCGTTAAAGGACCTCCCTTGAGGAATGATAGCTGCACGCATCGACTCAGATGCTAGTGCAGACTTGGATGCTGATGCCACAGAGTCGGGTGATTGTGACGAATAGGGTGTCAAAGGCAGAGAAGACGAGGACTGCGGAAAAGACCTCGTTGTACCCTCCATGTGAACTGCAGAAGACGAAGATGCAGAAGGCACGGCGCCTTCCACGACTTCAGGTGATGAGGACGGTGGCGACGAGGACGGAGAAGACGACGACCCCAAAACAACCCCCGTTTTTTCTGTTTTGACCGTGGACGTCGAGGACGCAGGAGCCTTGTCACCTTCAAGAACATCATGTGATGAGGGCGGTGATGATGACGACAGAGAAGAAGAGGACTGAGGAGCAGACCTCATTCTGCTATCTATTCCAACCGCAGAANGAGGGCGGTGATGATGACGACAGAGAAGAAGAGGACTGAGGAGCAGACCTCATTCTGCTATCTATTCCAACCGCAGAAGCCGACGATGAGGAAGTGTTAGCATCTCTCTGGACAGCCGGTGATGAGGATGGCGCTGCAGTAGACTCAGACGACCCTTCCTTACTTGCCGAAGAAGATTCTGCCTTCGAAAGCCGCTCTGCGCCAGACATTGATGATGTTGATATCACTGGCAAAGAAGCAGCTGCATCTCTCCCCATACCAGCAAACATTTCCTGTACTGGTGTTAACCCTTTCTGCACTGCTGGAGATGAAGCGCTCGCCTTCGGTATTTCAGAAGAACTCAAAGCTCCCGAAGACAAAGGCTCCATATTCAGGGATTCACTGGGAGGTGGTTTATCCTTTGCAGAAGGCAAAGACGCTGTGGGAGTCGAAGACTCAGACTTTGAAGATTCGCTAGGAGGTAACCCGTCCTCTCTCAACGCCATAGACACTGCAGGAGACGTCAGAGAAGAACCCTCAGTCTTTAATTCACTGATGGCATTCGGCTCTGGAGAGGACGAAACAGCGCTAGCATCAGCTGATAAAGGTGCTGAAGATTGAGGAGGAGGCGAGGAGGAGGAGGAAGAGGGAGAGGAGGAGGAAGAGGAGGGAGAGGAGGGAGAGGAGGGAGAGGAGGAGGAAGAGGAGGGAGAGGAGGGAGAGGAGGGAGAGGAGGATTCAATGGCTGGTTCGTTTCCTTTCCCATTACGATCCATCGACCATCTCTCGACTCCTTTAGTTGAGTCCGGTGCACTCGAGTCTGCACTACCAATTTTCTCTTCTGCTGAAGAAGAAGAAGAAGAAGAAGAAGAAGAAGAAGAAGAAGAAGAAGAAGAAGAAGTTTCACTGGCAGGAGAGCTAGTAGAAGCAACACTCCTAGCACTTGGCGAGGTGGACGGGATAGCAGACGATGGCTTAGACACAGACTCAGAAGAGCTGATATCGGTTGCCTTTGAGGTAACACTAGCTTCTGTCCCCTCCGAGGTTCGTGGTGTAGATTCAATAGAATTGCTCGCCGTGGATGGCGACGAGTCGCTCATCATTGAGCCATCTTTGACTGCGGGTTCACTTTTGCCATTCCCCAGGGATGCGGATGCCAATGCATCTTCGCTGCTGCCTTGTCGAGTGGATTGACCCTCCGCCGATATATCAGCAGGGGCGTCAGGAGAAGAGGAAGAAGGAGAAGAGGCCGATTCATTGGGGACCAACGAGGGTGAAGAAGAAGAGCTTTTCCGCTTCTTTGACTTCGCCGGTATCTCTGAAGGGACAGAGGAGCTGTCAGGGGCCGTATCACGAACGGCCCCAGATCCAGACTTACTTCCTCCTGTGGCTCCTCCTCCTCCTCCTCCTTCTTCTCCTCCTGCTGCCGCAGCTGATGTCGTCGAGGCAGACCTAGTTAGCATCGACAGGACTTTACCCGCCATGAAAGGCACTTTCACGTGGGACGAAGCAGGAGCTGACTCCTGGGAGGGACTCTGACTTCGCTGGACCTCTGATGATGCCATGGCCGCTTTCTCATCGGAGGAAGATGTGGCGCTCGACTGTGGATCCGAACTTGACGTGTCGGGACCGGTGCTCGACGGGACGCTGTCCAAAGACGCTGCTTTGTCGACAGATTTGCTCGATCCCAATCCTGTCTCCGACGGTGCTGAAAGAATCTCTGCACCATCAGATTTGCTCGACCTCTTGCCACCAGATTTTTTCGAATCCGATCCCGATCCCGACTGCGACGGTGCTGCAAGACTCGCTTCACCGCCAGAGTCGCTCGATTTCATTCCCGACTTCTTTGATCCCGGCTGGGACGGCGATGATGACGAGTCTTCAGGAGGCGGATTTGAATCAGTCGCTGACTCAGTACGCAACGGCTTGGGACTATCAGACTGGAGGGTAGCCGGGTCGGGATTCGAGCTTGATGGTGTGGCACTATCCCGAGGCCCCGATTTACTCTGGCCAGGCTTTCTCGACCTCGATGTCGACGGAGATGACTCTTCAGCAACACTGTTCCCATTGGAAGACTTAGTGCCTGATGGACTGGGACTAGACTTGCTGGCACGCTGATGGCTGCCAGCGGATCCAGACGGGGTGCTGCCGTCAGATGATGGTGCTTCACTGTCAGATCCGCTCGTTGTCTCGGAGCTGCTGGTGCCCTTCTTGCCCCGATCCGGATTCGCCGGAGCAGACGAAGGCACGTCTTGGTCATCAGAAGATTTTGAGCCATCCGACAACGAGGATGATGGCGTCTCAGTTGACTGGACAGAATCACCAGATGAGTTGTCTCCTCCATTCTTCAAAATCCGTGCGACCCTTCCATGATCCCCCGCAAAATGATGACCAATCCCACTCTTCCCGCCATGGCCGGGGTCTTCAATTGCATGCCCAAGAGAATCGTCAGATCGCGCTCTTTCGCTGTGTCTCGTAGCATAGAGCAACGGTGTTGTACGTGTCCAATCAGCCCCTGCACACATAGTCCGTCCATGAATGGCAAAACGATTATATTATAAAAAAAAAGCAATCAACAACAAACAAAAATGCACTTAGTTCCCCCCCCGCACTTGCTCATGAAGGAAAACAAAAACATATGAAAACCAAATGCTCTCTCTCTCTCTCTCTCTCTCTCTCTCTCTCTCTCTCTCTCTCTGTGTGTGTGAGTGTCTCTGTATAGCTATCAATGTATCTACCTAGTTTATCTATCTATCAAATGTATCTACCTAGTTTATCTATCTATCAATGTATCTACCTAGTTTATCTATCTATCTACCTACTCTCTCTCTCTCTCTCTCTCTCTCTCTCTATATATATATATATATATATCGTCAAATAGAACTGCCCGGTAAACCGTAGGCAGAGAGGGATATATATATATATATCGTCAAACAGAACTGCCCGGTAAACCGTTGGCAGAGAGGGAGAGGAGGACGACAAACGAGGGGCTGTGACAAACTGTTTTGCCGGAGTTTCACTGACTCATTAGGAGGCTGAACCCTCAACAGTCTGCAGAATCCCCTGACTGATTACACTGTAAGTGATAATCCAGCTTAACCCGGTTGTAGTTAGGCATCAACGCCCGACAACTGATACCCTGAGGTGGACACCAAAAACTGCCCTCGAGGTACCTGTGACAAAAATCAAAGCAGACTATCACTCACCCATACCACATGGAAAATCTACAGACTGTCGTTCACACCCCATCACAAGCCAGCAAAACACCCACGAAACAAAGAAAGGTCTATCACAGCCAAAAAAATACACTTCAGACACGCTGCTGGCACTAGATGCACAGCATGGCCGCGTAGTGACGGCCCTGACCACAGACACTCAACCTGACCGGAGAAAACTGTAGCAAGGTGTCAAACAGAATTGCCTGGTAATATGTATACCTATCTATCTGTCTGTTAATCTATCTACCTGTCCACCTGTAACTCTTGTTTATATCCCCCAATCTATATGTCTGTCTTTCTTCCCAGTTATCTATATATCTATATCTATCTAGATCTGTGCATCTGGGTGTATATCCGCGCTGATTGTCACAAAATGCAATTAGTTCACCCATACATCGGACTTTGACCGATCATTCAGAATGCCAGACGTCGACAGTCAGAGCAGCATGAAACACCCTATTACCTAATATGTGCAAAATTATCAAACATTCATTGCGTTTTTGCGCAGTTAATACGAACTAAGTCCTCCGGAGTGAGGGGAGACGCTTCTACTCTTTACTCTATATATAATACGAGACATGGATGTGCGATAATATTTATGAGTAGGTGAAACTCGACAAAACAGTCTCTCACAGCCCTTCGTTTGTTGTCCTCTTCTCCCTCAGAGTCTCTTGCGTACAAGGTCGCCCACGTGGATGTAGGTTGAGCGGCGGCTGCCCCCACCCCCGTGTCTCATATCGACCCACTTGCACACAGCCAAAAGGCAAATAGGCAAAGAAAAGAAGAAGGGAACAGCCAAACATAACAAAACAGGAGGAAAACAGGCAGAGATTCAGTCAAAAAAAGAACAAGGGAAAGAGAAACCGCAATCAGTCAAACAAAGGAAATGACACCTCCCATCTTTTTTTCTTTTCTTCGGCAATTTGTTCTTGTTTTTCTTTTTTTTCCTTTTTTCTTTTTTTCTTTCTTCTTCTTCTTCTTCTTCTTCTTCTTCTTCTTCTTCTTCTTCTTCTTCTTCTTCCCCTTCTTCTTTAACTTCCTCTTCTTCTACTTCTTCTTCTTCGTCTTCAACTTCCTCTTCCTCTTTGACACCTCCCATCTTTTTTTCTTTTCTTCGACAGTTCGTTCTTGTTTTTCTTCTTTTTTCTTTTTTTTTCTCCTTCTTCCCCCTCTTCTTCTTTT